TTATAGTGACATATTTTATGTTGGATATTTCATGCATACTGTTTTCAATAGAATCTTCAAAGGCATTGCCTACTACCCTAAATATACTGAACTATATATATTCAGTAAGGAATGGGCGTACACCAATCCACCTGGCTTCCCGAAGTAAAAACAACTCCAGATAGATGGAAGGGGCCACAAACAGGCGACCGCCTGCCAGTACGATGCAGGCTGAACTATGATAGAAGAAAGGTATGACAGCGTTTGGATGTAACCTTAATACAGAACTGTTTCAGGCTTATCATACTCCGGCCTATTCGCTGAACTCCAGCAAGTTCGTTTTGTGTTCTACGAAGGAAGTCAAAACAACAGAGGAGCTCACAGAGCCCTGAATTTATGCTTTTACGTTCAAACTCTTTCCTTTCCACTTTTAGCAATTTCGTGGACTCTCCCCCTTTTTTGCCTTGTCTTGTGAGGCCACTTGAAAATAAAGGAACAATAGATATGGCCATTGATTGCTCAGATACATTTTTGCTTTGGTCGTTATCCGACAGACCTGTTTTGGCGCAATTTAAATATAGCATAGTAGCAATAATTGCCTACATAAGATGCATTTTCAGAAATTATTCCCAAACGATAAAATATTTTTTCGTCAACTCTCGTTTGCGTTGTCTAAGGCCCCAACGACGCCCCCGGCTCATTTGGCGTCGTTGTGCCGGCTAATCGGAAATCTAGTTCTTCCCCGCCGTCGGTCGCATCCTGATTAAATAATTTCAGCATCTCAATAGGCACGTGGAAGACGATGGCCATTGCTGGCTTGTTAGCCGTCATCAGCCAGTAATATCCAACCACAAAGGGTGCATTAACCAAGGGCTTAGGAGCCGAAATGGCCGCTCCGGTCTTCCTTTGCTTAGTCCAATTCATTTCAGAATATATCCACCTGTACAGCTATTAAAGGAAAACGATGTTCCCTAGCTGCGTCCTGAAATACGAAACCTGAGGCGTTTGTTCGTGAGTAGACTCGGCTTTGTACCGCAAAGCTCAGTGCTTAGGCATGTATATAGCATCAACCACCGTCCACCCGCAGACGAGCCGAGGACAGATGAGAAGTTTACTATTAAACAGCGAGTTTTATTATGTCCTGGCCTATTCACGCATTGACTGAATTCCATTTATTTCGTTTGGCGCTCTAGGATGGGTGTTAAAAGAACAAAAGACCTCCTAGAATCCTGGTTTAAATTCAAAATACCTCCGCACTTATCGTTCTTTCGCCAGCCACTTGCGTCAACGGCCTGCGTCGAGCGTTTTCCCGAATTCTTGAGGATCCAGAGAAAACAGCTTTGCCTATTGATCATTCAGTTACATTTGCATTTTGGACCTAATTCGACAGATCTCTTTTGACCTACTTGAAGTAAAGCCCAAATGCATGCAGGAGACATTTTCAGACATTATTCCTAAACTATGATGCAATTTTTTCTTGATTTTCGTCAAATTCTGCTTCCGTTTTCTAAGGCGACAATTTGAAATCAAGCGCACACACATACGCTCTTTTATCGCTCATCTCGGGGAGGGAGTTTGGAATGCGCAAAAGACAATGCAACCAGTGTGTATGACAACTGGTTCACAAAACAAACAAAAATGTACACAGTTTTCTTTTTAAGGCAAATAGTGTGGCGGGGGGTAGGGAGGGGGCATATATTTT